GTTGGGGAGCTTTTTGGGTTTTTTTTTTTTGGGGGGTTTTCCCAAGTTTTTGAAATGATCCGGAAACGGCTGAAATATTTTGGTTGGAATTTTTTTTTCCTCCGGGGGGGCCAAGGGGGGCTAAAAATAACTTATCACCAATGGACAACTGATTAAAATCAGCACCTTGAACTCAAGACTGCCAAAAATTGAAAAATTGATTTTGAACTTAAAAAATGTCCTTTTTCAAATAGGTTTAAATGTAAAAAGCAAAAAAATAATTAATTAGCAAAAAATTAAATTGGAAATAGCATCGATCGTTCATCCATTAAAATCCCCCGATTCTTACCAGATATTGCTAAAATTTGAAACATTTACAATTTTTGTAAAATAATTCATTTACAAAAATTTTTCGATTCTTCTGATTTTAGAAACACCCAGAAAAAAGCGTTCGTAATGTTCAAATTCAGGTGAAAAAATCACAGAAACAGCGCCACAGGCGACGGTTTTTATGGACAACGGACGCTCTAACGGAAAACCAGCACCGCCGGCGAAAAACTTCGGAAAATAGGCTTTATTGAAGTAAAAACTGTCTTAAAAACAGTGACAAACAGCGCCGCAGACAAATTTTTTATAAAAAAACCATAAGGGCACAGATAAGCTGATTATCAACGCATTAATAACTAGGATTTCGTCGCCATGGCACCCATCTGCGTAACATTTTTTTCATAACGAAAAATTGTCTAGCGTTTTTACTGATTTTGCAATCCAAAAAAATCCACAAGAATTCCTGCTAGCTTGCCAGAAAAATTTGAAAGTTCGGCTATTACTAGGATTTGCTTTTAGCATGAATTAAATAAGGTCCTTACATCGAACAATTGAAGCACGCAAAGTTTCCCAAACATTACTAATTTACGAAACACATTTTTTACAAAAAAAATATTTTATTTTTGGTGATTTTCGAAGGATTTAAGCAATTTTTCCGCAATAATCCCTGCTAGTTTGTCTATAAAAACCGTGAATTTTACGCAAAATCATTTACCACGGCTTACGAGCGCGCATTAAATACTAAGATTTCGCCACCACGGCACCCATTTGCGTAACATTTTTTCAATCCGAAATATTATTGTCTAGGGTTTTTACTGATTTTGCAATCCAAAAAATTCCACAAGAATCCCTGCTAGCTTGCCCGTAAAATCGGGGACGGTGTTGTGACTAATTTTAAATTTTTCTAGAGTCTAGTTCTAGAATTTGGACGAACGTCGTGGGACTTAATTAAAGTATTTAAAGTCTGCCAAACAAGACCAATTTATGAAACACATTTTTTCCAAAAATATGTCTATGTACAATGATTTTCGAAAGATTTAAGAAATTTTCCTCAAAAAACCTTTTTTTCTTTTCTAAAAAAATTTTTTTTTTTTTTGTTGGGGTTTTTTTTTCATGAAGGATCAAAAAAAAAAGTGTATTTTTTTTGTTGGGCCGATTTGGTTAAAAAATATTTTTTTATTGAAAAAAAAATTTTGTGGGGGTGTTTGTAATATTGTAACAAAAAAACTTAAAAAAAATTTTTTCTATTTTCCAAAAAAAAAAAGTATTTTATTATTTTTTGGGAGTGGGGGGAAAAAAAATGGGTTGGTTGTTGTGGGTGTTGAGGAGGAAAATTGTATAAAAAAATATTAATTAAAGGGAAAAAAAAAATTTTTAAAATTTTTATAATTTTGGAAAAAAAAAAAATATAAAAAATTTTTTTAAATATAAAAAAATTTAAAAAAAAAGAAAGGAGGGGCAAAGGAAAAAAAAAAAAAAAAGAAAAAAAAAAAAAAGAAAAGGTGGATATAAAAAAGAAAAAAAAAAAAAAAAAAAAAAAAAAATTTATAAAATATAAAATTTTTTTTATTTTAAAAAATTTTTTTTTTTTGGGAATTTTTTTAAGGAGGTTGGTCACCGGGAGGATTGTAAATTTTTTAGATATTTCAAGATTTAAGTTTCGAACGTCTAGGAAAATTGCCCCAATTCTTTCTAATTTAAAATTTAAAATTTTAACTTTTTCCAATATTTTCTGCTTCAAAGAGATCATAAAGCGAAATTTAGAAAAAATAAAAGTTAGATCTAAGAATCTGATGGAATTGAAACCGTTCACAACGCACAATTATGGTGGCCAAAAGCGAGCTCACGTTACCAAATTCTGAAACATTTTTTTGAAATCTTAAAATCGAAAATCTCCTCAAAAATTTCTGCTAGTTTGCCTATAAAATTGGCCGAACCGCTGGAAGTTGGCGAATTTTAAATGAATTAAAGTCGATAAAAGTACACTAATTTTTAATTGGAAAGCGAAGCGGGGCTTTTCTTCCAATATTATAAGATTCAAGACACGCCCGAAATTGCTCATTTATCAACATAATTTTTTTCAGGAAAATGTCCAAGTTTTGTTACTTGGGAAAATGGCTAAATGCCAATTTATGTAAACCCTGTTTCCAATAAAAAAAATTTGCTTTACGTTCTTCCAATATTTTTTGATTTTAAAGGACTATAAGATAAAATTAGAAATTTAAAAATCACGGGAAAGAAAAATTTCAGAAAACTAGGGATATTAGAGATAGAAATCGGATCGGACGACCAATTATTGTGGCGAAAAGCGGACTAGTGTTCCGAAACACTAAAACATTTTTTTGAAATCTTATCATCGAAAATTTCCTCAAAAATCTCTGCTAGTTTGCCGATAAAATTGGCCAAACCGCTAGAAGATGACGAATTTTAATTAATTGGAAACTATCAAATAGATATCAAATAAAATATATAAGATATAAAAATTATTTTTGAATTTAAAATTAAACCCATGGTTGCCGGTTTATTTTCATTATAACATCCCAGTCACGCCAGGCATTGCTCATTTATGAAACATAAATTTTTTTAGAAAAAAATTTTTTCAGTTTTTTTACTTGAGAAAATGGCTAATTGCCAATTTTTTGACACGCCTTTAAAAACGATAATTTTTATTTCGTCCAATCTTTCTAGTTATAAACGCAATTAATGCAAAATTAAAAAAAAACTAGCAGTGATTTGTGGAAATTAGAAATGTATTCCGAGGTCCAATTATAGTCAATTTAACGAGGGACAATTATTACAGCAAACACCGGCTCTGGGTTTTCAAATTCTGAAACATTTTTTTGTGAATTTTGAAATTTAAAAATTTAAAATTTCCTGAAAAATCGCTGCTGGCTTGCCCAAAAAGAGAATCAGACATTAGGTAATTTGTTAATAGAAAACATTTAAATTTTATATACAATTTATCTAACACATTTTTTTCAGGAAAACCTGCGCGCCGAAAAGCAGAAATACCTGCTGTCGATCGCCCAACGACGCCGGGCAATGATGGCGAAACGCTTTAAAATGGCCTAATCGATTGGAATTAATAAATTCGCAAAAAACTATTTTTTATCAAGAAAAATTTTTACTTTGATGTTTTACGTTTTTAGGTAGTCCACTGGATTCGAAATTCTATTAATCTGTCCGCCGTTGTCATTCGAGGCCTTCTAAAAAATTTAATTGAAGAGTTCTAAACGATATTATTGCCGAATTTTACAAATTCCCCAATAATCCCTGCTAGCTTGCCCTGATTTTTGGTGCCAAAAAAATTAAGTGGCGTTTTGTTAAAATTCACAAAAAGAGGCTTCTGGGATTGCAAGTTGCTCGTAAAATTTCGATGTTATTATAAATTCCAAATATTAAATTCCAAAGATTTTTGTTGGTTTGAATTTGGATTTCGCACAAGCGCCAACAGCCCAAGAATCGAGAAAAACCGGGCCAAGAATCGATTACGCTAGGAAATTATTTTTGCTAGTCTACCAGTAATCAACCTGCCCACCAGTTTATCGATTTCCGGTTCCCAAAGGATCACTGCTAGCCTCCCCCGTCTTTCTCAGAATCGATTAGGCACCAAAAAAACCCACAAAATTGGAAAAACCGTTCTTGCCATACGATTACGCGATCAAATGGTCTCTGCTAGCTTATCATACGCTTAGCTGGCTGCCAGTCTATCGATTTCCGGTTCCCAGATAATCCCTGCTAGCTTGCCTGATTCTTAGGAATCGATTCGGCACCCAGAACCACCGAAAATCGAGGAAATCCGGACTTGAAAATCGATTACGCGATCAAATGGTCTCTGCTAGCCTGCCATTCACCTAGCTGGCTGCCTGTCTATTGATTTCCAATTCCCAAAAAGTCTCTGCTAGCTTGCCCCAATTTCTATTCGCATTTTTTTGGGTTCAAAGAACACCAAAAATCCGCCGATTTCCTCATTTTAGCCGTATTTTCCGGGTGACACCTCTAGACAGCAGGGGGGCCATTGTCTCCTCGAGCAGAAAATAGACATAATAAAAATAATAGAAGGCGAGATCCGGCCCCAAAAACACCGGTTAGAAAATATGAGCTCCCATTCAACAAGGGAGGGGCTGGTATTTGAACCGGAAATGCCAGAAAATATATATAAATGCAGATAAATAGCAAAAATGGGCTTTATAGGGCGCTCCGGGCTACCGTAAGCCTTAATTTTAATGTTTTGACTCCCGATTACTGTATCCTAAAGTTTTTCTGCTAGCTTGCCTGCCTTCCGGGGGCCTTTAAACGTACTAGTTTGCCTACAATGGTCCTTTAAAACAATAAAAATTGAGTGTAAAGGAACCGGCAAGTCAGAATCAGTTACACCACGCCCCCTTTTTTGCCTTCAATGCCTTTTAAAAGCTGTAAATTCGATTTTAAAGGGATTGGCAAGACAGAATCAGCTAGGCCCCGCCCCCTTTTGCCTTCAATGGCCCTTAAAAAGCTGTAAATTCTAGTTTAAAAGGATCGGCGGGTCAAAATCCATCGCCCCGGCCCCTTATTGGCGTATATGGGCCTTTAAAAACTTAAAAACCGATTATAAAGGGTTCGGCAAATCAGCATCAGCTAGGCCCAGCCCCCTTTGCCTTCAAGGGCCCTTTAAAACCTGATAAATCAATTTTAAAGGAATCGACAAGTCAAAAATGGTTCTCGCCGACACACTACTCTGCGTCAATTCCATCATTGGCTATTTCTGCAATGGTATCCTGGTGTACTGTATCCTGGCCACGCCCAATTCCAGGATGGGCACTTATCGGTAATTTTGCGTTTTTCTAGCTGTCACTGCCCCTTTAAAGGGCCGGGGAAGGCAAAATCCGTAGCGTTTTTGCCTTGAATGGCCCTTTAAAACGTGAAAATCGATTTTAAAGGCACCGGGAAGGCAAAATCCACATCGATCCAGGCGGCTTTTTGCCTTGCCAATCCCTTTAAAACGACAGTAACCCGATTTTTAGGTACCTAATCCTGGTGCTCGCCTATTTTAACATCGTCTACTCTACGGCGCATCTTTTGGTCATTCCGGTGGGTACGGTAGGATACGGTAGGCTACGCCAGCGTACGGTAGCGTACTGGCGTACTATGGCGTACAATAGGGTGCTTTAGCGTCCTTTTGCGTACGGTAAGCTACGCAAGTGTACGGTAGCGTACTTTGCGCTACGCTAGAGTACGGTAGGCTAGCGTACATTGCACTGCTCTAAAGGACGCATCAATACGCAACCATACGCCATGCTACTCTAGTTCACGCTAGCGTACGCAAGAGTACGGTAAGCTACGTAACAGTACGCTACAGTACACTACCGTACGCAATTTTCAGGTGACGTACATTCGCGATTTTTATGTGATTTTCTACTCCTCGTCCTACTTGGGGCAATGCGGGCTTGGTGAGCGGCTGAGGCACCAGATTCGGCTTATTTTCGGCTTTAAAGGGGGTGAGACAGGAAAATATCAATTAAAAATGTTTCATTATTTTATGATTTTTAGTATATGGTTTTGTAGAGTTTTTGACGGGCTTCCAAACGCTATACAAATCATTACGCCAGCTAATTCCTAAGCAAAGTTATGGCGAGTCAAACTTTGCGCCCCAGACTACAAACTACAATCGACCGTATCCCGGCGTAGCAACGTTCGATTCCCATGATTTTTAGCTCATTTTGAAGCGCTTTTCAAGCTCTTTTTAATAGCACATGATTGGAAATTTAAAAGCACATTTTCAGTGGGTTATCTGGCCCTTTTGGCGTACTGCTCGCTGTTCGCCCAATCCAACATGCTGCTCGCCTTCCACTTTATCTATCGCTATATATACATTTGCAGGTATGAAAGCAAAAATATAGGCCATAAAAATAAAAAATAAAAATTAAATAATTAAATTAAAAAGCCAGAAAATTTATTGAATTTTTAGATTTTTTAGTTTTTAATTTTCAAAATCTTTCATGTCAATTTGGCTTTTATTTTTGAGCTGTGGATTTTTTAATTTACTTTTAAAAATTAAACAAGGCTAAAAAATGACAATTAAAAGTTACAAAATTTTGAATTTTTCGATTTTTCTATTTTCTATTTTTTTTAGTTTTTGTGCTTCTTTTGGTTTTTTCGATTTCGTTTTTGGCTTCGCCGCTCCTTTAGAACGGAACTGCTGCAGTTCCTGAACGAGCCGGTGATGCTGCTGCCGGTGATCGTGGCCTACATGTTCTACACGTGGCTCTGGATCATCTCCGTCCATCTGTTTATGGGTATTTTAGAGAGGGGCAGGCTAGCAGAGGCCATTTGGGAGTTCAGAACTTCTAAACTGGCAGACAGACTATCGATTCCGGCTTTAAAAATAAATCTGGGCATGCAAGCAGAGACGATTTGCCCGGGTCTGGGATTTTGCTCCGTTGCCGGGCAAAGGATCCCTGCTAGCTTTCCTAGCTAGCGACAAATCGTATCTGCTAGCTTGCCATCGGCTAAACCGACATCCAGGCTACCGATTCCCGCTTTAAAAATTTATCTAGGCGTGCTAGCAGAGAACATTTGACCCTCAAATCCCCTCAAAACCCGGCTAGAGCTAATCGATTACGCCATGAAACCAGGAAAGCTGTTAAATTATAGTTTTTTGCGTTTTTCAATACTTTGCCGGCCAGTAAGGGCTGTCCCACTCCAACTTTTTAAAAATTTCGACACTTCAAACGATTACGACATGAAAACCCCGCGAAAAGTCAGGTCAGACCAACAATCGCTGCTAGCTTGCCTGGCCTGCGTCCAATTGTTTCTGATAGCGTGCCATTGGCTAAACTGACATACAGGCTAACGATTCCCGCTTAAAAAAAAATTTCCGGGGCAGGCTAGCAGAGACCATTTGCCCGGGTATTTGATTTTGCTCCAATTCCGGGCAGAGGATCCGTGCTAGCCTGCCGGGGGCGATTTTTTTTCGGCGGAATCTGTAGACGGGAGGTCAGTTTGACGATTCCGCCATCTAAAGGAAGATTTCCAGCCCGGTGGTGGCTAGCAGAGACCATTTGCCCCTCTTTCCAGGCAGCACCCCCGATTTCCTGGGCCGAGTCGCCGCCGATTTCCACGAATTCTCCGGCTTTTGGCCAAACGAGACGGCCGTTGTGGGGAATCAATATCTGGTGAGCGGGGGCAGGCTAGCAGGCATTTTTGGGTTAAAAA